AGTGCAAGCAGAGTGAGAATAGGCTGCTATATGGCCGACACCCGTTGCTAAAATAAATCCACCCTTTAGTCAAATTAATTGATCCAGTGGATAAGTTATCGCCATATATGAGAAAACATATCTTATAATGGTAAATGGTTCTTTGTGTGTATAAAGAATTACAAATTGACAGCCTGGGATTTCATAACTTGAGAGAATATATTGCAATCTAATTCAGAGTTTGACTGTCGAACGTCTATGAGTGTTTCTAACCAATATATCCAACGGCCCGATGTTATATACAATATATCTAATAACACTTACTGAGAATACATCCAATATTCTGGTCTCAAATCAAACAAAAACACGTTATCGAAAGTTAATAAACTGTCTGTTTTAGTAATTTAGCAGTACTCTCATATATTCATAAAATACTGACATCAAGCTTACATTATATATCTTACCTTAATTTCTGAATATTTCTAACTTTTCTGGTGATTTCAACTTTCAAAGATTTTGTTCTGTGTTCCTTTTATCCCATTATCAGTGAATACTTTGAAACGTGATATAACCAACACAAACAAGTGTATTGACTCGTTGTTTATCTGTATGTAGCACAAAGTTCTGTGGTTAATATTATTCCAACTGTAAATATTGCTGGCCCTTTTGTTGGTTCCAATGTTCGGAGATTCTCTTCTGTGATCCGTTTATCCCATTATCAGTGACAACTTTGGTAGAAACAAGTTTATTTGTATGCAATACAACCTTCTGGTTTGTCTAACTGTAAACATTACGTGTAAGATACAGCTGGAAGAGACGTAACTGTTATCAAGTTACAAGTCAACATGTTTAAATGGGTCAATGTCGTGTAACCGTATAGATATAATACGGCTATATATATATGTGTACGTGTGTGTGTGTCATTTTAAATATTGAAACGCAAATATTACATGATACTGACTCATCTTGTTGTTATCGGCTTGGTTTCCTTTTACTGTAATTGAGAATTGTTGTCTTTGATGATTTTAATAGTTACAAGAGTCAATTAAGAATATATTGTTACGGAGGGTTGGTCGCGCAACAATATACTTGAAGTCGGTGTGATCCGTTATTCGTATAAATGAACGTATCACCTTACGAAATGTACTGTAAAATGGAAATATACACCGACGAACTGTACCATTCATCAATGACGGATATGGGTGACTACCTTATACAGTGATCAGCTGTTTTATATCTACTGTTGTGTCCTTTTAAAACAAGCGAACCATATCTGACTACTCTAAAATGTTACAAACCAATATTCTTCATACGATATAACACAATTTAAACTTTACTATAGAGAGATATCGTGTTTAACATCCACTCGACACAAACTAGGTCATTTCGGGACTAACTAATTTTATTTTAATAATTCGCTTGCGCGTAGGGTTCTTTAGCAGTGGGAGAAAACCGGAGGACCCGGAGAAAAACCACGCCAGTTGACTCAATGACAGACCTTGCAATACAACGTGCACGCGTTAACCATTCGGCCATCCAACTTACCACTTGAATCTATATTACGATAGTGAATGTTGTACATTACACCACTAAATAAAGTCATAAAGGAGATAAGGGCGATCCCTGGGGAACCGCGACCATATTTTAAATTTTGTGCTAAATATACTATTAGCCATTAAAATACTTACTGCATTAATCTGTGCGACCCCTGTTACACCCTGACCCTATTTACCACATATAACTAAATTTAGATATTAGACGTACCCAGTTCATTGCCGCAATAAATGAAATCGTACCGGAGATAAGGGCGAACCCAGTTGAACCCCTATCATATTTCATAACAAGAATTCCAATAAATCACATCGCAATAATAGATCTACCACTAAGTGGCAATAGAAGGGAAGGAAACAAAGCTGACCACCTAAACATTGACAAAATGACAATCTGAGGTCAAAGGTTGAACTTGTAGTGAATATACCCAAGGAGTGAAAGACAACGTAAACAAACTAGGTTATATGACGACCAAATATCTTTGCCATGTTTGATTTATCTTGAGATAAAATTGAAAATTTTGATATATAGAGAATCTCCTTCCAGTCTTTTTTGATATCAAAAAATATCAACGCAAGTTGATTAAGTAACAAAAAACGAGGCTCTGCCGAGTTTTTTTACTTTATCAACGAGTGTTGATATTTTTTGATATCAAAAAAGACTGGTAGGAGATTTTATTTATCACCCAATCCCTTCTTACATGCACAAATAGATAAATATAATTCTTTGCTGTAGATTTCACTTTTACTGAACATTATGGAGTAGTGATACATCATTTTTTGACAGCAATTCAACCATTGCAAAGTCCTTTATATTGACCCAGTGTTTCCATCAAGGTCAATTGAATAATAATAGTTCATTTCTAATAAAAAAAAAGTTACTTTTAATAATAAATGAACTGTTCTTTGAAAATAAAAAAAGTAGTTCCTTTTCAACTGACCAATCAAATTCATGTAAAGCGATATCTCCTAAGGGGATATCGCTGTAGATTATGAAATATATCACACAAGCGATATCTACACTGTAGAATGTATTATTGGGTGATAAAATTGTGTAAGATACGTTCGTAAACTTCTGAAACCAGAGGTAGTATCATGTATATTGTTTTGTTAGAGTACTCACACCCTGCATCATATACGACACTCGTGTATCAGGGACATATTGCAGGAAGGAAGGGGAGGGGCAATGAGACTAAACCTTCATCTTCACATCGCCCACACAAACACCCCTTTGGCCCGTCATTAGACAAACCAACAGATCTTGCTTATCACCTCTAAGTACAGTTTTAGATCACGATGACATAAAATGATAAAAAAACAACATTATTTAGATATTTGTGGAAACCAAATACAAACAATTAGTATTTTAGTGTTAAATCCGGGTCAGTTTATCGAGGTGGGGCTTTTTTCCTTAAACATCCGGGTCATTGTGATTAAACGTACATCGTATTCACAATCAGCACGTTGTGAAAAGTTAAAACGACCTGCAATATTATATACGTAGTAAGGGCAGATATAGCTGATATATAGCACATGAGAGAGAGAGAGAGAGAGAGAGAGAGAGGAAATGAAATGAAATGGGGTTTAACGTCCTACTGTTTTACTCTAAACTGGGCTAATGAAGACGGGCATACGCCATACAGTGTGCTGTGAGGGAAATTTTGCCCGGGCAGCGGCACTACGGCCTACTGTTATATCGAATTCCAACTGCCAAGGGATATTTTACGTGCACTCCAATGTGTACACGGGACCTCGGTTTTTGGTCCCATTCGAACGACTAGACAGCTGTCCTTGTCATGCCCTCCGTCCTGCATCACTGACAAGGGAGAACCACGCCGGAAAATCTGGATGAACTTTCTTGGCCAATACAGAGACAGAGAGAGAGAGGGAGAGAGAGAGAGAGAGAGAGAGAGAGAGGTTAACGTTCACTCGACACAAATTAGGTCATTTCGGGACTAACATATAGTTCAATTTTATTTCAATAATTCGCGTGTGAGTAGGGTTCTTTAACAGGGGGAGGAAACCGGAGGACCCGGAGAAAACCCACGAGGTTGGACAGACGACCCTACTCCTTGTCACGGTCACGTACAACTGGGGAATCGAAACCCTGCCAGTTGACTCAATGACAGACCGTATGATACAACGCGCACGTGCTAACCATTCGGCCAACCACCCCCAAAAAATATAGCATTCACTTAAGGAGTTAATGAAATGGAGTTTAACGTCATGTTTTTTCTGCTCCAACCAGGTTATAGAGAGAGGAATACACAATACAGTGCACCATGATGGGGGGGGGGGGGCACTGTTGCCCTGACAGGATTCTTTTACGTTCACTTCAACCTGTACAGGGGATCTCAGTTTTTTATTCCATCCGAAAGACTAGATGCTGTTTGTCGTTTCGGGGGGATTGGATGGCCGAAAGGTTAACACGTGCGCGCTGTGTCATGAGGCATGTCATTTGGTCAACTGCCGTGGTATCGAATCCCCGGTTGTACGTGACAAGGAGTAGGGTCGCCTGTCCAACCTCGTCGGTTTTCTCCGGGTCCTCCGGTTTCCTCCCACTGCTAAAGACCCCTACGCGCAAGCGAATTATTGAAATAAAATTAAACCATATGTTTGTCCCGATATGACCTAGTTTCTGTCGAGTGGACGTTAATCCCCCCCCCCCCTCTCTCTCTCTCTCTCTCTCTCAATCGTTATTTCCTTGTCAGGTCCTTCGTCTTTCTACACTTACGAAGAGTAAAGCAAACCAAACTGGAACATCTGAGGAACTCGTGAGGAACTCTTGGTTAGTGAGCCAGTGTCATACTCACTGAACAACCGCAGCAGGGTTGGATTTACCAATATTGTAGGGTACTGACCTAGGGCCCACTAGAACTAATTTGTCGCGCAATGAGCGTGCGCACCGTGTAACCTTGTTTCACGTGTACACCTGGTATTGTATGAAATATTCAAAACCATTCAAAACCAGACGTCACACCCGACACGTGGACAATGGGCTTGAACAACCCCCACCCCCAACCCCACACAGGTTCCATTTGTCAGTCCTAACCACGAATCTCACTCGGGATACAGAATCATTAAACATTTGCCATTTTATATTTAAGAAATAGATGGATAGGATGCACTCTGCGATATGACTTTGGTTAGAATTCTTGCTGCCAACGTTTATTGAGTTTTTCGTTCCGGACAAAAAAACAGTAACCTAATTTTCTGCAATCCCGACGGGCGCTAACCCCGATATTCAAAACCATGGTGTGCAAACTTTACGACAGCCTGTAACAATTTTCAACATCTAAACACGAAGGAGCAGTTACGCGTTTCTTAATTTGTAAACCCCACGGGCGCTAAACCCATGGGCATACAAAGCTTACCAAAGCCCAGACAAATTTGCTGTAATAATTAGTTATTGTCGAAGGTAAACATTTTGAACACCTAAGTCACATATTACATTAGTTTATTCAAAATGTATGTGTAAAATAATAAAAACATTAACAGAAATAATTTGGCAGTATCGGAAAATAATATATCTTACCAGATCAAACAAAGACAAATGAGTATAAAAAGTATGGAAGACAAAACACGCTAAAACATTTAATATACGAACATAGATATAATCAGCTACATGGAAGACGTTGGATACTTTGCTGCGATATTACTATCGTGGAAGCAGACGTTAAAATACAAGCTTAGACGAATTGTTGTGGCTCTGGGTTTTTTTTCTGAATAAACAAGTATGACATTACTATATGGACCAGGAAATGAGGATGACGTCATCGCCGCCATCATCTTGAACACATGACGTCATATCAAAAATCGAAGGCCGTCAATCGACGTCCAAGGAATAAGGATGCCAAGTTCCATATCATCATACTTAAATTGTCGCGGAGCTTAGGCCTTTTTCGAAGAGTGTCGGATCCGTTCTTGATTAAAATACAGAAAACAATCTCAAGAATTCGGGTACAAGCTGTCCATATCTCGATTCGGTTTAATGCGTGCGCGTTAGATATTAAGGTCTGTCATTGAGCAACATGGCGCGGTTTCGATTCCCCGCTTGTACGTAGCAATCGGTAGGGTCGTGTGTCCAACCTCGTGGATTTTCGCCGGATCTTCCGATTTCGTCCCACTGCTAAAGACCCCTACGTGCAAGCGAATTTCTTATATAAAATTAAACCATATGTTACTCCGGAAATGGACGTAGTCTGTGTCGAGTCGACCTTAAATTCCAATTATCTCTCTTCTCTATCAAAATTCGAGTTAAAAAAAGACAGACGAAGACCGGTCTCGGATTGAGTGACTACGCTACAATGAGTACATACAATGGCATATCAAAAACAAAAAAATAAACATTTATATTTACAAAGTTACTGGAAGACGAGTATAAAAACATATATCTACTAATAGATAATCAGCTATTATGCGTGAGATTTGTCTGGTGTATTTCGGGCTTCAAATGTTATATAAATTATTATTATTTAGACATTTATTCACATGACAAGCCCACAATCGGATGGCTTAGATATTGAGTTGATTAAACATTGTCCGCCATATCTGCGATATATATTATACATCACTTCATTTTAAAACAATAATTCACAATTACAACAATCTGATTAAACCCAGATCTATATTTCCTTTTGTTACATCTGACCGGTTTTAGTCGAAGGTCGCGTCAGTAGTCGTACGAGCGACTCTTGGCCCTATGACGTCAGACATTGATTAATCGTTCAGCGTTGACGTTTCTATTGGTTTACCCACAGTTCCATGCATCGCACGCCAAAAACTCGCCGTAACAGACAGTTTCACTAGCTAATCCCTAACATCACCCAGAACAACTCTTCCAGATCCTAGTGTTGTGAAGACAAGTAAAACGAAATTTTGAACTATAAAGAAACGAAACGAAATAGGATCTATGGTTTAATCAGATTGCAACTTCAATAATACACTGTAATAATAATACTGATATACAACGAGAATGATTCATGTCAATAAAAATATATTGAAGAATGACCAAACATTGAAACAAGATCGTACACCAGACAGACATTACATGACGATTGTTGATGATGGTGGCGTTTGGGTTGGTTTGTAATGGAATGAAAACACTTTGTTGACAGACTTCATCACTGTTCTTTTTGTTCCGAGCAAATTGAGTTTTATTTGCAATTTCTTACATGACGTAACAAATGAACATGTAGATCAGGGACAGAGAGTGGCGTCATCACCACCATCTTGAATAGTGACGTCACCTCGAAAGTCGACGTCCGCAAAATGGCGTACATTCGTCCAAGGGACAAACATGTCATGTTTCGTGTAGATTGTATTTTAATCGGCGGAACTTTGAGCGTCGTCCCCTATAGACCAAGAGCAACATGGTGAGTAGTGATTGGGACTCCACTCCTGGTCTAAATATATGATATAGCACTAAACGACATATTGTTATTCCAGATACCTCACAGTTTACAAACAGAACTGGTTCTAGACGGTGGAGGTTTACAAATAGAACTAGATCGAGGTGGTGGAGGGTGTTTGGGTACTGGTGGTGGCGGATTAATACGTGCTATGATCGTTGGGTTGGGACATGGGTTTACCTCTTCATAGTGCCCGGATGATGAACCGTAAATATATTCGGAGTTCCCCGGTGATTCTATAGTTTGATAGTGATTCGTTAAAGGAACTTCGTACATATCTTCATTAAGAATCTGATCCGATAACTGACTAATGTTTCTCTGGAAACGGTCATCCATTGGTAATCGCTCACGTTTGATCGTTCCATTCCGCTCTAACACCGGAAGACACGTGTCCGGCATAGCGTAATACAACTTGTCCCAGAACCAGGGGTCATTGTATTTTAAATAGGTTCTTGTTTTAAAATAAAGTTTTAACTGAGAGTCGAGTTTATTATGATCAATATCGTGAAGCAGAATTAAAATAAGTCTATTCTTTTTCTCGGTAAGAACTTGATGGTGAGCCGTTTGAAACTCGTATCGACACCATTCACTTTGTAAGAAATGGTCCGAAATAAGCATCACCGTTCTTTTACTACACTCCACACTACGCACGATCGTTTCTGCAATACAAGCTCCAATCGGAAAATCTCGATAGTGAAGACATAGTTTATATTTCTTTTCGCCGTGTTCAAGTCGCGGTGCTAGTTCATTAATAACAAATAATTCATCGCGATTGCTGTACGATAAAAAGGCATCAAACGGCCTTTTAGCATCGTCGTCCTCGTCATCCGTGTTGTTATGCACTCTCCAGCCATATTTAATAAAACACCAGACCTGTATCAAGTCTCGTTTCCAATAAATTAAAATCAAAACTCCAAATATAATCCCTGTCGCCACGGAAATGGTCACCAGAGCAGCTATGTGAACGTCTCGGCCTTTTGTTTGTGGCTGTTCGATCGTGGAATTAATAAACTCAGTTTTGTTCAAGGAACACTGCATTTTCACTTCGTCATCCAATAATGATATACTATAGGCGTCGTCATCCCACGTGCACTTGACGTCACTAGAATCCATTAACATTTTAGAATGTGACGTCAACAAATCAACAAAATTACAAACAAAATTAAAGTCACATGACCATGGATTTTGAGCCAATGAAATATAACTATTGTTTAAAAGTTGCTTCAAGTCATGCAATGGAATGAAGTGTAACATATTGTTATCCAATGATAGTATTTGTAAAGATTTCAGACGTCCTAGGGATTCGTCTTCAATCGTATGAATAGCATTGTTATTTAAATACATTTCTTGAAGTTTGCTCAACTCCGGGAAGGCTAGTGACGGTATTACAGTAATATTATTATTATTTAAATACAATTCTTCGACATTATCTAATCCAATAAACGACGCGTTCTGTAGTGTGTGGATATTACTGTTATTCAAATAAAGCCTTTTCACGTTCTCTAGACCTTTAAACACGTCACGTTGTATTGTCGTAAAATTATTCCCATCTAACATTAAATCGGTTACGGCGTACGGTATGGCAACCGGAACTGACGTCATGTTCTGATTTTCACAATGTACTTTATGTATATTAGTTTTATCATCCGAAATCAGACATTGACATCCTGGGGGACATTCGTATCTACACGCGCATGACTTCATTCCACAACACGGGCAGTTATATTCACACTTCTCGCGATACGAACACAGGAAATCAGAACGTGGCACATATTTAAAAAATTTCGGAGAGGAATTATACACACTGGAACACCGGAGTAGTTGTAAATCCACAATATTAGGATATAAATCCACATTAGCCGCGTCCAACTCGGCCAGTTCCTTCAGCCATGACAGACTACAGTCACATTGAAATGGATTAGCGCTAATATAAAACAATGGTTTAGGTTGAACATCACGCGATATCTCCACCGATTGCATCTGAAGACTTGTCAGATTGTTAAATTCCAATCGCACTGATTTTAAGTTTTTCATGGTCCGGAAGGTGAAAGGGGCCATATACGTAATCTTGTTGTACGATAAATCTAGAGTTTGGATGGCATCGGGGAACTGACCTCGATATATCTTAGTAACGGAATTCTGTCTAAGAACCAGATTTGTTAAGCTGTTGAGATTACTGAGAACTGTGACGGTTTCAGCCAGGTTATTATCACCAAGATTCAGATAGTTTAATTGTTTTAAATTTAAAAAGCCGCCGGCCGATATTTGTCGGATTCCGTTGTTGGCTAAATTTAATCGTTCTAGCTGTTGACAATGCTGGAACACACCGTGAGGAATATATTCAATTTTATTATTAAATAAATCCAAGTCTATTAATCCAGTAAGACCGAAAAATGTGGAAATGTCGACCATAGCGAGGTGATTGTTACTTAAATCCAAAACATCCAGAGAATTCATTTCATGGAATCCGGGCAGTTTAGTAAGAATATTATGCGAAAGGTTTAATTTTTGTAATGTCGATACTTCATTGAATACTCCAATTGAGAAACCTTTGATTTCATTCTGACTCAAGTCCACAGATTTTAACTTTCTTAATCCTTTAAAAGCCGATTTAGAGAATGATGTTAGATTATTTCTGGACATGTCCAACTCTTTAAGGCTATGGATCAGTTTAAAGGCCTGTTTGGGCACGGCCTGTATCTGGTTGTTTGAGAGATTCAATAGTTTCAGCATGTACTGGTCTTTAAAAGTAAAGATATTGAACTGGGTAATGAAATTATTGGATAAATCGAGCTCCTTCAGCAGGGGTATCCTCTCCATAACAGAACTGTTTACAAAGGTCAACAAATTCGATCTAAGATGTAAATATTCCAGACGTTTTAGCGTCAGGAACTCCGACCATATATCATCGTTTAGTGAGAGGTTATTCAGATACAGATGAACTAATTTAGTGTGGTTGGACATTAGTCCTGGAGGAAGACGTCGAACAGGATTATCACCCAAGGACAGAACAACTAACTCCGAACAATTACTCATCATTTCACTATCAATTGATGTTAATGAATTGTTCCCAAGATCCAGCCACATTAGCTCAGGAAGATTATTTATCGTCCCTAGGTCGACCCGATTTACAACATTATCAGAACTTGTCAGTCTTTTCAGCTTTGGAAACGAATTGCCTAACCACGAGGGAATGGTTTCAATAAGATTATAACTGACGTCCAACACTTCAAAGTTCGGCAATTGGTCGTTATTATTGTCACATTTCACGCCTGTTTTGTCGTAACTGGTGATAAAATTGTGTGAAACGTTTAGAGTTCGCAATGTCTTAACAGAACAGAGTTTTGGTAAATGGCGGATTCCGCTCGAGATAAATTCCAGTAATCGTAATCTAGGTAAATTATTTAAACTATTTTCATGGATCATTGATATAGAGGAATATTTGATAGTTAGTTCCTCTAATTTATTTAAACCAGAAAAGGCTAACTCCGGAATCTGGCTGATTTGACAATTCTCAATTCTCAGTACTATCAGTTTGGGTAAAATTTTAAACATGTGATTCCACAGTGCACTCCATATCCCACTCGTTTCGTCACATCTTAAAGTCAGGAATTTAGAATCGTTTGTTGGTAAGCGTTCAAAGTTGATTGTGTTTTCTCGTAACCATGGTATTTTACACAGCCATAAGATGCCCTGATCGTAGTAAGTGGGTGTACACAGACACGAGGCATCTGTACACAACAGTTCGGCATTGATAGAACAGCATACCATGATCACGAAAACCACATATCTCAGAAGTCTCGTCGCGGCCATCCTGAAAATAGTAAAAAAAATATAAAAGTTAGAACTTGCGTGTGACCTGTTGGTTCAAATACTGACTAAAACAAAATCCCCTAATTTCGTTTCATTTATGAAAGAACGATATGCTGCCAGTCAGACAGAAATGAAATGGGGTTTAAGGTCATACTGCTCTGCTCCGACTGGGCTAATGAAGACGGGTATACGCCACACAGCGTGCTATGAGGGACATTTTGCCACTCGACACAAACTAGGTCACTTAGGGACTAACATATAGTTCCATTTTATTTCAATAATTCGCTTGCGCTTAGGGATCTATAGCAGCGGTAGGAAACCGGACGACCGGGGGTAAACCCACGAGGTTGGACAGACGACCATACTCTTTGTCACGTACCTCCGAGGTATCGAAACCACGTCAGTTGATTCAATGTCAAACCTTATGATACAACGCGCATGCGCTAACTATTAGGCCATACAACCCCCTTGATATTTTTAAAAGAAAACTGGACGTTCATTACAGCATTTGGGTAGTTCCTATTTCTACTTAAAAGAGCTAAAACGCTAATATTTCGGATCTACAAATTGACACAAATGGGTCGAAACGTATATAATAATGTAATATGAATGTAATATGGTGGAAGAATACAGAAATCAAGTTTATCAAGGGACATAACTCATCCAATAGTAATTACTAAAAAAAATCATCTGACTGGTCTCATTATTAGATATTTTCATGAGAAGACTCAACATCAAGGCAGAGGTATAACCCACAATGAAATCAGATCCTCGGGATTCTGGATTATTGGTGGAAAGTCAGCAGTCGATCATTACATATACAACTGTGTTCGATGTCATAAATTAAGATCCAGTCCTCAGATCCAGAAAATGGCTGATCTGCCATCAGACCGTCTCAGTCAAACTCCAACCTTCACTTACGTTGCAGTGGATCTATTTGGACCATTTTTTATTCGAGAAAAACGCTCCGATGTAAAAAGATATGGTGTGTTGTATACCTGCCTCTATTCCAGAGCAATTCATTTAGAGACTGTAAATTCACTAGAGACAGACGCCTTTCTGAACTCGTACAGAAGGTTTATTAACAGACGTGGTCCTGTTCGCCATATTCGATGTGATCATGGCACCAATTTTGTAGGTGCGAAAGCTGAATTTTCGAAATCACAGTTAGACGTTGATAAAGTCCAGAATGAACTGTTACATGACAATTGTGAGTTTATTATGAATCCACCTTCTTCCAGTCACATGGGGGGTGTTTGGAAAAGACTTATTAGAACAGTTCGCAGTGTGCTCTCCTCAGTATTAGATAAAAATGGTGGGCAACTTGATGATGAATCATTAAGAACCTTATTCACCGAAGCTGAATCAATAGTAAATAGTCGGCCAATAGCAGTAGCAGCAGATTATCAAGAGCCCCTCACACCCAATCATTTGCTTACTCAGAAAACAAAGACAGTAAAACCACCCCCTGGTGAATTTACACAGACAGATATTTACAGCAAAAAGAGATGGCGTAGGGTTCAACACCTTGCTGATGTTTTCTGGCGCAGATGGCCTAAAGAATTCCTTCAAATTCTACAGACTAGACAAAAGTGGACTCGCCCCAAAGACAATCTTAAAGTTGATGATATAGTTTTGATTAAAGACGATAATCTGTCAAGAAACAATTGGAAGCTAGCTCGTATTCATGAAGTGTATCCCAGTTCTGATGGTCTAGTTCGTTCAGTTAAACTAGCTATTGGAGACAGCTCATTAGATAAGGATGGAAAACGCGTAAAACCAGTGAAAATTAGACCGAGGTATCCCCGTCGAAGAACCAAAATTAACATTATATGCCTATATGTGTATTCATGAAAATCAATATAACCTATTTATATTAAAGGCCCCACAGATGGTAGTTGTACAGCCTTAGTGTTTATTGTATATCACATTAACAGGGATGAAAGTTGAAAAATACTTGCGAGTTGATAGTAAATATGTGTCTTATTTGAGTATCACTAGTGAATCTATACATGTATATTAAACCATGTGTGATAGAATGGGGTGATACTTAATTTATTCATTGATCGGAAATTCTTCGGAATCACAGAAACTTTTAACAGTGACAAAAATTATTTACAGAACAAGACAAAGAAGAGAACTTTTATTTCATTTTTGTATATTTTATTGAATAGTAAATCGTCATTTATCATGTCAATTTAGGGGAGCCATGTAGCGGCCTGCTTATCATATTACTAATTTTATCGGGTAGTATAGACTCCCCCTACATTGGCATCACTTATCGATTAGTCTTGCCTTATTATTGGGGCATTTCCGCTGGTGAAAAAGAAAAGAATGCTTGCTGGTGAAGCCACAGTTTGACAGTTTTATATGGGAAGAGTAAAAGGGAAAACGAGTTTTTACAGGCAAGGACAGTATAGAATACAGATATAGAATCCTGTAAAAACAAACCCACTAACTCTTCATAAAGATAAAGTACATGTATTTGTATTGTATGAATATTAAAATATCTCTACATTGATTTGATTGTCATCATTGATGTTACATCATTCACTCAGCCCTTCTACAGTCTCTGAACGACTGTATAGTAGTTATGATAAATATTTACAGATCAGATATTGTATTCACTCAGCCCTTCTACAGTCTCTGAACGACTGTATAGTAGTTATGATACATATTTACAGATCAGATATTGTAAAAGACAAACGAATGTTCATTACAAATCAAGTAGACATTTGGGTAATTTCGTTGCAAATGTATTCTAGACATTACAAGTGAATGAGGTATTTGGGTAGTTTTATATTTCTGCACCACGAAGCAGTGTAATATTTTAACTGATGGTAAACTCTATCCTAATGTTTCAATATTGATCGGCTGTAAACTGGCCAGCTATAGCGTGTCACTCTTCATCCAGATGTGACGAACATTAACTTGACATTTCGGGAGGATAATTGTACAATTATTTATGATTCATGCGTTTCCATGATTTGTGTCCGGTGAAGAATAACAAGTGGATTAAGCTAATAGAAACATCATCGCAGGCCAGTTTCAGCATCAATTATCAACGATACATGATCAACTCATCGTTACAGTCATCATCGCAATATTTTAGAAAATAATATGGAAATAAATTGTGGTTATAAACCGATGAACACGTTTGAAACGAACATGTCATATATTTACACAAAGTTTTCCACAATTTCAATGGATGTTTATTATAAAATGATTGTAACATATTTATTATGGTTTCCCCTTGTCAGTGATGCAGGACGGGGGGGGGGGGGGGTGACAAAGACAGCTGTCTAGTCGTTCGGATGGGACGAAAAACCGAGGTCCCGTGTATACATTGGCGTGCACGTAAAAGATCCCTTGGCAGTTGGAATTCGATATAAGAGTAGCCGTAGTGCCGCTGCCCGGGCAAAATTTCCCTCATCGCACACTGTATGGCGTATGCCCGTCTTTATTAGCCCAGTTTAGGAGCATAGCAGTAGGACGTTAAACCCCATTTCATTTCATTTTAACATATTTATTAATGTGGCATATTCATAGCGTGTATTTTTCGGACGGTTGAACAGAGCGAACATGTATCAAGGGTAGATAATTCACGGCAGATAATCTCTCTCGACTTGGGTTTAATCAGATCAAATAGTTTGTTTATCCTTCATAGCCTATCCGGGGATCACGTGATAATCCCTGGGTTTAATCAGTAGAATGACCACGATCAAACGTTTTCAACCCTTGACTTATAGCATTCTGAACATCTGAGACACGCTACCTGCGGAGAAGTATCTCAGACACAGTCAGTAGCCATGATATCCATATCACGTGATCTACACATCACAGGTCATGACATTGGCGTCAATGGGTCATGAGGTCAACATTGTAAACAATAGGGTTATCTTCAGCATTGTGTCCGTTGCACCAATAAAGACTATATAATTCGTACAGTCCCAACATGTTCCCTCTTCTTCCAATGATTTTTCACAAAAATAACATCTACAACTCATAGAATTGACGTTGTCTTCAATGACATCGTCTGCGGGGGTTGTTCATAAAGGCCGCCATATTGCACTATTTTGTGCGTCGGTCGGGTCTATTTCAGATATACACAATCAATTCTGTTGATGTTTTTAGCGTTGGGATTGACTAATAGTTAATGTGTTTCAGTTCTAAAACTAATATTTTAAACTTTAACGCAAATTTAGAAAATAGCCAAATTCTGGCTGGGATTACTGAGCAAAATGGCCATTCACTGTATACGTGCGACAAAAAAGCTAGCCACCAATTAATTTTCGTACGTTAGTTACGTACGGACTTATAGGTGACATGGGCTTAATTAGATTGGAAAGACCGCGATCAAATGGTTTTTTTTTACCCTTGACAGGGGCGTGTTTATAGCCTATTGTCTGTAGTCGATCATGAACGTTTTGAAATTTGCAATTCAACATATCTATATAAATACTTAAAGGAATTGAACTATTTTAGTCCTTCGAACTACGAAACGTCCTCGTTGTTTGGTGACTTTTCATTATAGATTTTTCCGAGATTCTATCTGAATTACCACCCTTATATTATTTTTAAAATGTTTGACGCTTTAACGCATGACGTCAACTTGCAGACTATCGTTACTTGGGAGACGACCACCGCCCAAATCGGTCGCATTATTTCTGCTCAATATTTTTTGTAAATCATATGTATCTTCTTTTTTATTTTTTATTTTTTTTATTATTATTATTTTGAGTGACGCCAGCATCATTCATTACAGACTCGGAACTGTACAGCGCAGTGGACGCTTACGGCTGGCCCCTGTGTCCATTCACTTGATTTGATATTTGTTTATTAATTGGAATGTCTAGGTATTCTGTCTTGTCCGCAGGTTTGTCTTGTCGGTTTTGTTTTGCATGTAGTGCGGTCCCCCTGCGCTTGGAGGTTGGATGGCCAAATAGTTAGCACGTGCGTGATATATCATACGGCCTGTCATTGAGTCAACTGGCGTGGTTTCGAATCCCCGGTTGTACGTGACAAGGAGTATGGTCGCCTGTCCAACCTCGTGGGTTTTTTCCGGGTCCCCCGGTTTCCTCCCACTGCTTAAAGACCTCTACGCGCAAGCGAATTATTGAAATAAAATTAAACCATATGTTAGTCCCGAAATGACCTGGTTTGTGTCGAGTGGACGTTAAACCCCATTTCTCTCTCTCCCTGCGCTTATTTTTAGACTGATATTTTAATTTTCGAGATGGACCCATGCATAATACTGGATGGCGATGATGATATTTATCAGCAGTCGTTACAAGAAGTAATGAAACAAACCTGTGATTAAATTAACTAATACTGGATAACGATGATGATATTTATTACCAGTAGTTACAAGAAGCAGTAAAACATGTCAGAGATTAAATTAACTGTTGATTGGCCTGTGTTTCTGTATTGGTCTGTGTTTCTGTAGCAAGAGGAATATTGATTTATTTCAAGTTGTTCTAACTCGTGTTATCTAAACATTTTATATCAGTATTTATATTAGTTCATACTTCATTTTTCTCGAGGGGATATTAATTATAACGATGCTGGTATGAAATACTCCTTCCTTGGGAAATAAAATGAGGTCTAACGTCCTGCTATAAATGAAGACGGGCATTTGACACACAGTGTGCTATGAGGGGGATTTAGGCCGAGCAGCAGCGCTTCCTCTGCCTACGTTTTGTATAATTCTAACTGAGAGGAATTTCGCCCAGGCAGTGGTGCTACAGCCTACTCTTCACCGAATTCCACCTATTAAGGGTTATTTTAGGTTCACAACAACTTGTACGACGGACTGTGATTTATCGTCCTATTCGAACTAATACATGCTATTTATTGCCTTTCTTACTGCACAACTGTTCTCTTGAGCCGGTGAAACTATTTATATAGTTTATTTACACTATTTAAACAAGAAGAAATGGCAGCCAGTTCTGTTGCATGTTAAGGAGTAGGGTCGTTTGTATCGCACGCTATTTGTGTTTTTCTTCCATACATTATGTAAGAGCTAAATCTGCCTAATATCCTGACCATAATCAACTCTCGATGTCGTCGTTAGCCAGCGATATTTAGGGGATTTGAATCCATTTTGTGATGGATAATTTAAAGCAAAAATGGATAATCAAGACTGTGTTTATTATCGTACCAACGTTAGTAATGACGACCGAGACTAGCCTAAAATTGAGTCGCTAATATCTCGGTTCAGAGTGAAGAAATTTGACTGAAATTTTCAGTATATTCTGTTTCCATTATCTATTTTTCCACTATGGTACTGTTCAGAGTGAAGAAATTTGACTGAAATTTTCAGTATATTCTGTTTCCATTATCTATTTTTCCACTATGGTACTGTCAGCTCTTTATCTAATCTTAACTAATTCCCCTTTGAATATAAATATGTCTTATCCCGAAATATATATCACCTATCTGTGTTGAGTGGGCGCTATATACAAAATACTGTGTTTCCTAATTCATCAATAATATTCCTCACAAACATCATTAATACCCAATATTTCAAATTAAGAAATCTCACAAAACATCTGGTCTTTGTTTATTTAACTTGATAATACTATCTTTTTTAGCATTGTTACATCTGTAACGGTAATTACCAGCCTTATCAAATTACACACGATTCAATTTACTACGATAGAATTACTCGATTGTTGTCCTGTGATTGTAAGCAAATGAAAAATCTACATCAAAAGAACTTTTAACTGAACAAAGGTGAATAAATGATGGGGTTTAAAGGGGCAAAAGGGACAATAGGACCCCCCCCCCCTCCCTCATGCTCATGATGATGTGGAGGAGGGAGGGAAGGACGAGGATGATGAGGGAGAGAAATGAAATGAAATGAAATGGGGTTTAACGTCCTACTGTTCTGCTCCTATACTGGGCTAATGAAGACGGGCATACGCCATACAGTGTGCTATGGGGTAAATTTTGCCCGGGCAGCGGCCCTATCGCCTACTCTGATATCGAATTCCAACTGCCAAGGGATCTTTTACGTGCATTCCAATGTATACACGGAACCTCGGTTTTTCGTCTCATCCGAAGGACTAGACAGCTGTCCTTGCCAGGCCCGCAGTCCTGCACCACTGACAAGGGAAAACCACGTCGGAAAATCCAGATGAACTTTATCGGCTAATGCAGGGATCGAACACCCGACCTCCAGGCTAGCACGAGGGAGAGAAGACGACGATAATCATGAGGAGAAAGAGAAGGACGAAGATGACGATGATGATGATGATGATGATGAGGATGAGAAGGGAGAGAAGAACGATGAGGAGGAGGAGGAGGAGGGGAGAGAAGGATGATGATGATGATGATGATGATGATAATGATGATGATTTGATGCACTAATATAAAAATAGGCCATTTGCATGTGACATGATGAAGACGGCGATGATAATGCTGGTGTTTAACGATGCACTAAAAATCAGACAGGCCATTAACATGTGACATGAAACATGATGAAGACGACGATGATGATGATGATTATAAATCAGCCATTCACATGTGACATGGAATAACACTTATCATTAGATAATAATAACGTGAAATGTAATGTTTAAATATCACCACTCTAGCAAATGTCAGATATAAATACGACTTTAATGTCAGTTGAAACTCCCACAAATTAGGAACACATGTAGTTCAATATAGATATATCCCTCTGTTGTACATGTGTACGTTTATTAATTAATTAATGGTCTCACTAATTGGTTTCGTGCAATGTCGGATTTATCTATAGGCTTGGCAGAGTGGAGCCAAGGGCCTCAAGATCGAAGATTTACTAAAACCTTGGATCTAGGATCTAGGAATAATCTATAGTCCTTGCAGGTTGAAACCTAGGGCGCCGGGCAAGCTGTATACTATGTTTAACATTGCCATAAGTCTTTCTTACACCCACTGTAGCCTTAAATACCCGTCATTATTCTCGGCTTTGCTAAGTTGTGTTTAAAACACAAGTTCATCTTCCGCTATTCCCGGGGGTAGGGGATTGGGGCCCGCCTCATAGTGGAATAGCCTATCTTTATCTAAATCAGACACTAAATGAGGCATAACAGTGGGTCATTAACCAGCGGATCCAGTGATCGAGAAACTTCTTCGGGATTGTCCAGTCTGATTTCTCATTGTCATGGCAACATTTCCCACATAATACACTGTCTAGAGGGTTAAGTTATTCACGGTAAATGGTAATATACATTAGTTCTGTATGTTACGTCAGACCAGGAACATATATTTATTCTAGCTTTAAGTATATTATATAACAGTTAATTAATAGTTAATTACTGGCAGAATGAAAACATGATATTTAACGTCCACTGGGTGTTTTAATTGTCTGCGATATGAGCCTCGGTGGAAGCGGACGTTAAACACAACGAATGGGTCTTTAGCAGGAGGAACCCGGAGGATCCAGCGAAAAGGAACTAATTAACGCGCACGTACAGTCCAAGTAAATCAGATACTGTGGGCACGGTGGTTCAATGAGTAAGACGCAGGCTCACGATCTAATCCGATCACGTTGTTGACTGCGAATGGAGGGAGAGAGAGAGAGACAGAGAGAGAGAGAGAGAGAGAGGGGGGTTAACGTGCACTCGACACAAACTAGGTCATTTCGGGACTAACATATTGTTTTAATTTTATTTCAATTACTTGCTTGCGCGTAGACCGAGAATGGACCACCGGATTTCCGAAGAGACAGTGTATAATTTTACAGATAAAACAATACATACTCACATTAAATTGTCGAGTTAACCCAGGATTAAATGATTAGTCGAATCGTCATCCCGTTTACATCATTCATTCCGCCAACCATCAAGACATACATCTATAATCTGACTCATAACTGTAAATATAACATAATGAATTTTAATCATGTCAAATATGTTTTTTATATTAATAACTGATTTATTTTCTAGAAACATTTGATATTCTACACAACAGGATATAACAAATGGATCGTACACGAACAGATAACTCAAACTATTCATAAAATAGTAAACATAACAATAATATTAATAATAGCCAACCATTTATAGCCCCAAATTTACAAACCCTGCTTAAAATAGAACACAAACAACTATTCACAAACATCTTCGACCTACATTATTAGAGTATTATGTAAAGGGCATCTATTTTTTATGAACAATATTTTATTCTCAGAAAAGAACGAGGCTAGGTTAGGACGATATTACTTCTGTCCTGTGTTAAAAAAAAATATAAAAGCTTTAAAACCAATTTATATTCGATTATAAAATGAAACTTAAAGGATCTAAATCGCTAATATTTAGGACCTACAAATTGACACAAATGGGTCGCAACGTATATAATAATGTAATGTGAATGTATATAAACTGATTTACATTCAATCGTTTCTGGTTTTTTACTGCAATTTCTAATCAGTTATGTTCGGCGAAATACACCAGAAGTCTCAATCCAATGGCAATCTCTAGCGTCTGGTTATTCCAGTCTACACCGATAGTATTTATTGCGCATGTTCTCCAGATAAGAATTTGGGGTCACCGTTTGACATGACCTGTGGAATATGTCTAACCTCGTTCTTAGAGTCGCTTGTTACAAATTGCGCTGAAACGCATTATGGTACACGATTCGTGTACCAATCGTAAAATGTTTATTTGTCTTAAAATATTGGATATCAGAAGCCCATCTTTTTCCGGTAAGACTACAACACTAATGTTGATTAAAATTGACAAATAATTCGTGTTTTCATTGTCGAAGATTTTGGATGATATTGAGTTAGAGACTTAGTTACTTTAACCTTAGGACTTTAATAATTTTATTTATGCAACAAAGTCAATGGATATTATCATGTACACAAAACACATAAACCAGACGAAATGAAATAAAATGGGGTATAACGTCCTTCTTTTCTGCACCAACCGTACTAACGAGTGTGCTATGAGGGGGAATTTCACCAATGCAGCGGCGATACGGTTTACTTTTTTCTTTAATTCCAAGTTTCAACGCTCTTGTTGCGTGAACGTCAAAGTGTATACGGCCACTGCCCTCAGGTTTGTTTTTGTACTATCCAAACTACTAGACCTATTTCATTGTGAGGTACCGATCGAGGAAATATATGTTTAACATAATCAGAAATTCATTTAATAGTCTGTATTTCAGTACACAAATTACAGCATAACCGTCAATATACACAAATATGTTGTTAATTTTAGTTTTAAGGTCATGCTGGCTAGGTTATCGTAGATTGACTCATAGAAATACTTTAAATTCCATAAAATATAAAAGATTTAACGGAATAGTCTCGCACATATGTTTGTGAATAAAGCTATTTATTGTTGTGTCTGTAACTCTTGTAAACTTTATCCCTGCCCTCAGTAATTAACTGCAGTCTGGTGGTGTTATTTCGGAGAAAAGGAGTATAAATCGTCGTTGGTCATAAATCCACAACGTCCACGCGACAAGATAGCCATGTCAATATATTGAAAAAATTATGACGTACGTGATGTCGCGATTACCAAGTCACTAAAATTGAAGAATGGATCCGATTTTAAGTAGATTAAAACGGTTCAGCAATTTAATGATTTAATTTAAACATTTAAGGGCGAGGCTACGTCTCGAATAACCAGCACCGTGGTTACGAAAAAAAAAAAAACAATCCATGCCACATCTTGTCAAAACTCCAAACTGTGATAACTTCAATCAGAATAAAATAATTTGAATGAAATTTTCATTATATTCATTTCTCGTGATCTCTTTTAGCAAGAACGGTCAGCTCTTTATCTAAATCTTACATAATGTATCTTAAATATAACTATTATAGCAAGAACAGTCAGCTCTTTATCTAAATCTTACATAATGTATCTTAAATATAACTATTATAGCAAGAAAGATCAGTTCTTTATCTAAATCTTACATAATGTATCTTTAAAGATATGTGAAATTAACAATTACAAGAAATAATTGCTCACATTAATATAAGCAGTAATTGTATTCCATAAAATTGTGACCTGTATACTCCAGTTCAATTGAAACAGTTTATCTATTTTTGTAATATTATAGCTTTATCTCTAGCTATCACTATTTTATTGTTGGAGGCAGACCACCATTAAATTTCATCATCTCAGTACCCACGAATTGTAGTTCGTCTATTTATAGCAATTCTCTCTCTCTCTCTTTTCTCCCCTTTTGCATGCCCATTTTTGTTGATTTTTTGGTCTAGAATGGACGAAGAGGGTTTGAATTAACATTTTCTGCCAGGTTTTGGTAAATATTCATGATTTTGAGGCGGAAGGATAACAGGGTTATCAGGTTAGCTACGGCGATATGTACGGCAACTAGTTACATGTTTTTAGTATGCTTCTTCAAGTTTGTGTATCTCAAAATTTTGGTGGTCAACCTCATACAAATTTTAGTGCAAAGACATGACCATTTGTTCCTCTGTCTGTAGTGAAAAGCATTCAGCCCAACGAAAATTTGGGGAAAAGTTGGAGGTGGACAAAGAGGCCAGAATTAACATTGAAGTCAATGGGGAAATTAATGGTGGTCTGCCTCCTGTTACAGGTTTTTTTTATAATTCTGATTAGAATACAGAACAATACAGAGGGTGTAACACGGGATTAGTCAGGCGTGCTGTCTCGTTGTCCCAGCAGATCACTCAATGACACCATACCTTGTTTGTGGTTAGTGCTAAATGATAAGGCCAGTTCAATTTTTCTTCATAGGTCACGAGATGTAAATAGAGCTAGCGCTAATCCCAACCTTGGACCTAGGCCCAATGCTTACCCTAAGCATAACTTACAATCTCGCCACAATCACGTGCACTAACTTTATTTACATCTCAGCGACCTTGAAAAAATTGAGCTGGCCTTAACAAATAGATTCAACCCCTTGTTATGAGTGAGTGTGTCCTGTAAACAAGATAAACGTAGGTAAACACTGTATAGATTCTACTTATATAACGTGACTGCAAATTAAATGGCATTTAGCCTAAATGTAAACATTACGTCACACAATAGGAGTAAATATTATGTCATTAAGATTAAGATTAATCCTCGACCGTCATTGTCGTGTAGTCGACACCGATTGTTTACCAGAGACAAGCGGATCCACTGTGGCTCAGTGAGTAAGTCGTTGGCTTACTGGGTTCGATCAAATGTTCTATTAAAATTTCCCACATGTGTGCACCAACCGGGGTAATAAAATGTGCTATACGAATGTACCTCGAACGACTAGACTAAGGGTAACACGGCTGTAAAATCCCCCGGTGCGAACCCGGAATCTCCTGGCTGGTGAGCCACTACTATTCCCACGAGGCTCCCGTAGCTCCCGTACACAAATTGTCCGTCGGCCTTTACTGAAGTTAGTAAATGAAATGAAATGAAATGGGGTTTAACGTTCAACTGTTCTGCTCCGATTGGGATAATGAAGACGGGCATGTGTGCTATGAGGGAAATGTTGCCCGGACAACCGCGATACGGCTTACTCTTATATCGAATTCCAACTGCCAAGGGATATTTTACGGAACCTCGTCTTTTAGTTCTACCCGAAGACCTAGAGAGCTGTCCTTGTCAGGCCCTCCCAAAAGAGGAAACCATACGCTTGAAAATCTTGATGAAATTTCTCAGCCAACACTGGGTACGAAGTTATTATGTCTGAAGTGGCATGTGTCATTACTTACGAGTCTTACTAACGGCATTGTAGAGAATAATAAACAAATGTTATATAATGGCGTCTGTTTATAATACACACCCAACCTTTGTTAGTGTGGTATGACATGCCAACCCGTAGGATTTGAATGCTAAAATTGATTTTTTTGCTGTTTTGGGTTGATGTTGGACCAAGCTATCCAAAAATGTTGGGGTTCAAATTTTCCGACCCCTTGACCCCAATGGGAGGGTCATTTTTGAAATCGGGCCCCCTATGAATGAGGACATGGCTATCTCCGCCAATCATGGTTGGATTTTCATGATCTGAAGTTCATTCTCGTGTTTTTTCATCATGCCGACCCCATCTATGATAAACTTAAAGCGATTACAAATAGTTTTCATTGAATACGGTGGGGAATACCAATTTCCGGTGGCAAACTTGGATTGATTTCAGCCGATAATCTTTGGATTTTCATGATCTGAAATTCGTTCTGGGATTTGTTCATATGCGGACCTCATTCTAGGGTTCCATTTTTTCGACCCTTGACCCCTCTGGGAGAAGCCTTTTTGAAATCCGGACCCCTCTGACCGAGTCCATGGAAATCTCTGCCAACAATGGTTGGATTTTCATAATCTGAAGTTCATTCTGGGGTTTTGTCATCATGATAGCCCTAAAGCAAATGGGAGGAGTTTTCATTGAATTCCGGTGGTTAATACCAATTTCCGGTGTCTCAGCCTACCACTTTTTGTGGATTTTGAAGCATGGTAAAATGATTCATATGGTCACTTTTGGGTGACTGGAATGTTCTGTCATGAGATTCAAAACACTTTGACATTTGTTACAAGTAAACAAGTTTAATATCAAAAACAAAAAGAATATTAGATAGGGTCGGCATGATAAAAAAACCCCCAGAATAAACTTAAGATCATGAAAATCCAAAAATTATTGGCTGAAATCAATCCGAGTTTGGCACCGGGAATTGGTATTCTGCACCGGAAGTCAATGAAAACTACTTCCAATCTCGTTTTAAGTGTATCATAGATGGGATCGGCATGACGAAAAAACACGATAATGGACTTCAGATCATGAAAATCCAATCATTATTGCCTGAGATAGCCATGTTCTCGTTCAGAGTGGTCCCGATTTCAAAAAAGCCCCTCCCAGAGGGGTCAAGGCGTCGGAAAATTTGAACCCCAACATTTTTGGATAACTTTCTCCCCAATCAACCCAAAACAACAAAAAAATCAATTTTAGCATAAAAATCCTACGGGAGCTGTTTTGATGACATGTCATACCAAACTATTGTCATTTATATCATACTTTATGACAGACATAATAACCAGTACTCTATAAACATCTATAGATGGTCATACATAACTTTATAACAGACATTATAACCAGGACTCTATAAACATCTATAGATGGTCATACAAGACTTTATAACAGACATAATAACCAGTACTCTATAAACATCTATAGATGGTCATACAAGACTTTATAACAGACATTATAACCAGGACTCTATAAACATCTATAGATGGTCATACAAGACTTTATAACAGACATAATAACCAGTACTCTATAAACATCTATAGAATGTCATACAAGACTTTATAACAGACATTATAACCAGGACTCTATAAACATCTATAGATGGTCATACAAGACTTTATGACAGACATTATAACCAGGACTCTATAAACATCTATAGATGGTCATACAAGACTTTATAACAGACATTATAACCAGGCCCCAAGTTCAGGAAGCATTCTCAGACTTAAGTTTTAAGAATTTACTCAAACTTGTCCACCTTATTTGAACTAAAATATAGCCCTTTATAATAATTTTGTTGTTTGAATGTATCAAATACATCAATAAGAAACTATGTGCAAAATTTTGTGTTTCTGCATCAAAGATATTTCTCATAAACAGTGATTAAAAGTTGATTAAATTCTTAACTTAAGTCAGATAATGCTTTGTGAACCTGGGGCCAGTACTCTATAAACATATATACATGTTCATACAAGACGGTATATAAACATCTAGTTTAAATTATATCAGGCCCAGATAAGGTAAGAATTCACCCAACTATGATCCAGAAACACAAAGCTTTGTATATAGTTTCTTATTGATACATTATTAAGGGCTATATTTTAGTGAGCAATAATGGATTAAATACTTAAACATACATTATGCAAGCGCTAAATCTGCCTATTGCAGGTCTTTCTTTAGGTCTGAAATGTTATCTGTATTATTAATTAGACATTTATTAACAAAACCAAACCATAATCACCTCTCGATGGCATCGGATACTTGAGATTTTAACTAGATTAGAACGGTTCGCCATTTAAAAAATTTAATTTAAAAATGGGAAAGCTAGGCTAAGTCTCGAATATTCCTGTGCCCTGCTTACTTCAATGCGCACATCTTGTCAAAACTACAAACAGTGATAACCTGGCTCAGAATGAAGTAATTTGAATGGACTGGTCAGCTCTTTATCTAAATCTTACATAATGTATCTTTAAGATTTATATAAGGCCAGGAAAAATTAGAATTTACTCAGCTTTGACCCAGAAGCACAAAGCTTTGAACATAGTATCTAATTGATGTATTTGTGATACATTGAAACAAGAGATTTAGAAAGGCTATATATCTTAGTTAAAATAAGGCGAAAAATTGTAAGTCAATTCTTACTTTATGTCTGAGAATGATTTGAGAAACAGAACGATGGAATTTAATGTCCACTCGACATAAACGTGTTTATTATTTCAATAATTTATTATTTCAATAATTCGCTTGCGTGTAGGGGTCGTTAGCTGTAGCAGCCAACTGGAGGACCTGGTGAAAATCCACGAGGTTAGGCAGGTGACTGTACTCCTTGTCACGTGCAAGTTTGGGATCAAACCTACGCCACTTGACACAGTGACAGACCATTAAAGACGAGAACTTATAAACATCAAAGTTTAAATTCTACCCGATATCAATAGCAAGTCATGCAGTGCCATATATAATCACCAGACATAATATAGGAGTGTCGGTGACTCATTCCCAACATCTGCACTGATTCACGGTGCCCTGAAGAGTAGATACACGCTCGCTTACAAGGAGGTTCAAGGTTCGCTCTTGTTATTGGCAGAGACGGAAACTTGATGGGTAGGCACAGACGTACCCACTTACAAGGGGGCTCCAGGTTCGCTCTAGTTATTGGCCGGTCGGATACTCTCGATGTTCATTGGTGTAAGAAGGAGGTACTGACAAAAGAAGTTGTCTAGTCGTTCGGAAGGGACAAACAATAGGTCCACCTGTGTATTGGTTGCGTACACGTAAGGGACCACTTCACAGATGAAATTCGATGAAAAGTAGGCGTAAACAAAGTTGTCCGGACAACATTTACCCAGTTAGTGTAGGCAAGAAGAACGAAAATCAAACCCTATTTCATTTCTCAAAAAGCCGCGGTGGTTCAGTGAGTAAGACGTTGGCTCGCGAACCTGGAAATCCCGTGTTCGATCCCCTGCGTTAGGCGGGAAAGTTCATCTGGATTTTCCGGCTTGGCTCCTCCTTGTGAGTGGTGCAGGAAGGAGGGCCTCGCAGGGGACAATGCATAGTCGTTCGGAAGGGACAAAAACGAGGTCCCGTGTATATATTAGCGTGCACGTAAAAGATCCCTTGACAGTTGGAATTCTATATAAGAGTAGGCCGTAGTTCCACTGCCCAGGCAAAATTTCGCTCATAGCACACTGTATGGCGTATGCCTGTCTTCATTAGCCCAGTATAGGAGCAGAACAGTAGGACGTTAAACCCCATTTCATTTTATTTTCAATTTTCAAATCATGCATATTATGTTAAGCGCTAAATGACATGCATTTTCTGGAATTGTTTCGCAGAACGCTCCTAAATTTATGTCAAATATTATCAGTCATTCACATCGCATTTAGCCCTAGAGCGATTCTATTCATGGCCTTTTCTCAGCAACGACTTAAACTTTTGGTGGATCCATAATTCAATGCCGTACTCTCGAGTCTGCGATATGCAGTTCCATTGTCAACAGACAAAAACCTGTTCACCAAGGCGCTCTTTAATTATTCCGCCTGACATGAGACGAGCGATGCCCATCGGTTAAATCAGAAATGCTTTCAGGAATCCTAGAACCCGTCATCTGTCACTGTCATGGCTGCAGAACATTATCATACACAAAGACTCAAAATAGATCTCATCTCTCTGGCATCTACGAGTTTTATGTGTTTTCTGTAGGCCTTTCGTACAATAATATATTTATATCTACTGTTTTATAGATATCCCAGTCGCTTATTTATTCTAATGATCCACAGAGAAACATTACTGTCAAATGGATTTCTAATTCCGACGAAGCTAATGTTTCTTCACGTTCAAAATGAAATGAAATGAAATGAGGTTTAACGTCCTACTGTTGTGCATACGCCATACGCCATACAGTGTGCTATGAGGGAATTTTGCCCGGGCAGTGGCACTACGGCTTACTCTTATATCGAATTCCAACTGTCAAGGGATCTTTTACGTGCATGTCAATGTGTATCCGAGATTCGGTTTTTCATCCCATCCGAAAAACTACACAACGTGTGTTTTATCACCCGGTCCGACGGGGGGGGGGGGGGGAATTAATATTAAATTATCATTTTGAAATAAACTGGGGTTGAATTCCCTGGCACCAAACAAGGTAATGATGACGAGCATGCGTCATGTAGTGTGCTATGATGGAATTCATGCACGGACAGTCGCGGTTTCGCTTACTCTTTATCGAATTTCAAATTTCAAGGTATCTTTAACGTGCACGCTAATGTGTATATGGGAACTCGGTTTTTGTCTCAACCGAATAACTAGCCGCTGCTCGGTGTCCGGCCTTCCGCCTTGCAACACGCCGGAAATTCTCGAGAAGGCTTCTTGGGTCTTGCAAGCGACAGCGTCTAGTCATTCGGATGAGATAAAAAAAAACTGAGGTCCCATGTTTACATTGTCGTGCACGTAAAAGATCCCTAGACGGTTGAAATTGGACCACGAGTAGGCGGTAATGCCAGTGTTCGGAAATAATTCCCCCTTATAGCACACTGAATTGACATATGCCCGTCTTCGTCAGATTGGGTGGAACATCAAAGAAGGAAGTTAAATCCCATTATATTTTATTTCTACTTCCAGTGTTTTCAGGGATTTTCAGGGATTTTCGCAACACATATGGACACCGGAATTTACTTTAATTTGGTAAAATATAAAACTCAATTCAGCTGAAACGTAAAATGGCTTCAATTGTAAATGAAAATGACATTATTTACTTACTGACTATAGTAAGCTTAGTAATACACCACGAATCTCTCTTCGTTGTTGGTAGACTGCATCTTACAGTTAAAACATTTACATAAATATCAAACTCACTTAACATATCCCGTAATCCATCTAGAAGAATAATCTCTATCCATTCACAAGAATTAAATCCGCAAACAGAAATCACAATTTCACATGATAGCTTCACTTCAAAACAAAACTTGTTTCCCCCATTCCTTCAGATCGTCTGATCTCACAGCTCGCGCACAGCAGACGACAGACTGCTGTTCTACACTTGTTTTATCGTCTGCTGTTAAGCGCGAGCGGGAGTTGTTCACGACTCGATTTGATTCAATAACCCCCAGTTGGAGGCTGGCTGAGGCTAATTACATCTCGACCAGCCAGCTATGTAAACAATTGATGGAATAGTTCTCAGTGAATCTGTATTTCACCATGAAATAACGGTTGAATACTATAGTATATCACGATTCATTTATAATATTCATAAAGACGAACTGTTAATATAGTTTTGTGTATTTAAATAAAATGAAATTAGGCTTAACGTCCAACTTTTCTTCGGTATTTAAATGCGTTTTTTTTTATTATTATTTTTGCTTCTTTTTCATGGTTGTGCGTGCTAAGATGGAGAGCAAGGGAGAGAGAGAGATGGGGTTTAACGTCCACTCGACACAAACTAAGTCATTTCAGGACTAACATATGATTCAATTTTATTTCAATAATTCGCTTGCGCGTTGGGGTCTTTAGCAGTGGGAGGAAACTAGAGGACCCGGAGAAAACCCAACGAGGTTGGAAGGCGGCCCTACTCCTTGTCACGTCCATTCGGGGAATCGAAACCACGCCACTTGCCCAAATGACAGACGTTCTGATACAACGCGCACGCGCTAACCATTCGGTCATCCCCACACCACTGAGTCCACATGGTGCTCAGGCTCGTAACGGGGGGGGGGGGGGTCGCAAAAAGTTTCGCCCCCCCCCCCCCCTGTGAAAAAATTGTCGACCATAAAAACAAAAAAAAATAGATATACATTGTTCGTCAATTTTACAGCAGCCCCTGAGAACACTTCTCGCCCCACCCCCACCCTCCGCTCTTTGCTCTGAGCTATTTACGTCCCTGATGGTGCTACTCCGGTATGAACGTCCACTTACTGTTCGCTGACAAGGAAAGTGCGCATACTAGTTGTTCGGAAGGGACGACAAATCGTGGTCCATTCGTGAAAGAATCCTTTACATACCATCCGAACGACTAGATGCATTTCATTGTCACCTCCGTGCATTAATGACATGTGGAAAGAAGGCTGGTAGAAAATTCCGAGAAACTTCCTCGGTCAAAACTTTAATTGAAGTACGTGAAACTTCCTCTGTCAAAACCTTGATTGAACCCGAGACATAAGCGTACGTGACTTCTAAATATAGTATGTTATGTAATGTTATATAATATAAACATATACTCGTACAGCACACTTAAAATGTCCTCTAACAACCCTTAAAAACACGTAAAATATTCTAATAACAATAGGGAATCGCGGCGGCTTAGTGAGTAGGGCGCTGGCTCGCTATAGCCAGGTCTCGGGTTCGCTTCCGCGTGATTTTCAGGCGTGGTTTCCCCCTTGTCAGTGCTATATGACGGATGTAAATGACCCCTATTTATATAATTACCCTGAGTAAGAAGCTGGCTCGCTAACCAGACAGAATGCCGGGTTTCTTTAGCCCAGGGATGGGGGCGAATGGTTAACGCGTGCGCGTTGTATCATAAGGTCTGTCATTGAGTCAAATGGCGTGATTTCGATTCCCCGCTTGTATCTGACAACTGTATAATTTCGTGGCGTGCACGTAAAAGATCCCTTGACTGTTGGAATTCGATATAAGAGTAGGTCGTAGCGCCGCTGCCCGGGCAAAATTGGGGGGTTGGATGGCCAAATGGTTAGCACGTGCGTGCTGTATCATAAAGCCTGTCATTGAGTCAACTGGTGTGGTTTCGAATCCCCGGTTGTACGTGAAAAGGAGTAGGGTCGCCTGTCCAACCTAGTGGGTTTTCTCCGGGTCCTCCGGTTTCCTCCCACTGCTAATGACCCCTACGCGCAAGCGAATTATTGAAATAAAATTAAACCATATGTTAGTCCCGAAATGACCTAGTTTGTGTCGAGTGGACGTTAAACCTCATTTCGCTCACTCTCTCTCTCTCCGGGCAAAATTTCCCCCATAGCACTCTGTATGGTGTATGCCAGTCTTCATTAACCCGGTCGGAGCAGAACAGTAGGACGTTAAACCCCATTTTATTTCCTAATAATACTTGTCAGCCCCATCTCCACATCGACAACACCAAGAGTAGATGGTTTTCTCCGGGTCCTCCGGTTTCCTCCCACTGCTAAAGACCCCTACGCGCAAGCGAATTATTGAAATAAAATTAAACCATATGTTAGTCCCGAAATGACCTAGTTTGTGTCGAGTGGACGTTAAACCTCATTTCGCTCACTCTCTCTCTCTCCGGGCAAAATTTCCCCCATAGCACTCTGTATGGTGTATGCCAGTCTTCATTAGCCCAGTCGGAGCAGAACAGTAGGACGTTAAACCCCATTTTATTTTCTAATAATACTTGTCAGCCCCATCTCCACATCGACAACACCAAGAGTAGATGGTTTTCTCCGGGTCCTCCGGTTTCCTCCCACTGCTAAAGACCCCTACGCGCAAGCGAATTATTGAAATAAAATTAAACCATATGTTAGTCCCGAAAAGTCCTAGTTTGTGTCGAGTGGACGTTAAACACAATTTCTCCCTCTCTCTCTCTCCACGAGTAGATACTTCATTATAAAATCTAAAAACAAACTAATTCAAAATTATGTTGTTTACTTACAGATTGTGTTATATACTGATAAACCAGGGTAACTTTATTCATACTCCAGTCACAACGTCAAGTATAGTATAAACTAAACGGTAATTTCCGGCCATTTAAAATTCACATTCAATGTTTAATTCAGTACGTGACTCATAAACATCAGTTAAGCCACCTTAAACTCTACTGTACAGTGTTTCAAATATTTGAATAAAAATTTTGTCAAGATTTACCCAAAGTCAAACTAATTCAATTATAGATCATATTTCGATTCGTTTTTTTTTATAATTCAAAATATTGTTTTACTTGTCTTTATAACACTTGATGTAACGGCGGGGCGGCGGTAGGGGTTGTGGGGCGGGGGCATCGACCATTTTTTAAAAAACGAAAACAAAAATAGATCTGTATGTTAATCAGTTGATAATATTGATTCTGTATAAATTGGCAGGAAGTGTATAGTCGTTTGGATGGGATGTAAAACCGGGATTCCGTGTATACATTGGCGTGCAGGACAAAACACCCTTGGCTGTAGGAATATAAGAGAGAAAGAGAGGGGGTGGGGTGGGGTTAACGTCCACTCGCGACACAACACAGGTCATTTTGGTACTAACTTATAGTTCAATTTTATTTCATTAATTCGTTTGCGCGTAGGGGAGGAAACCGGATGACCCGGAGTAAACCCACGAGGTAGGACTGTAGGAATAAGAGTAGGTCGTATATATATATATACGCTTACATTTACATGCGGCGCTATCATAAAATACAGTTTAAATATAAAAAAGTTAAAATTCCTTACAATTATGGATTTTACACGAACAGCTTCAATTTAAATACACCTATCTCCATTTTCAACAATAACTACTATCTATCAACAAATAATTACACTGCCTTCTTCCTCGAATTGTCTTATAATAATGTCATCGTTATGTCATCATAGCTAATTTTGTCTGCGATATCACCATCAAGTGGATGAGGACGTCAAGCCCAACCCATGAACGAACGATCGTATGGGTCGTTGAGAATACAGCTACAGTTATCCACATTTTGTATTAGCACGCTCTCATAGTTTCATCAATGTATCTATTGTAACATATATATATATATGTTTACATTCCTATTATCACGTGTTGTAAAGTTATACTACAGGTCAAAGGTTAAAGGTCGTGTAACTTGACTGTAGTGTGTATCTGTATTGTAAAAGATAACATGGGGTGACGTTAATACCCCAAGTGAGTGGTGTCAATCAAAATGAGAGAGAGAGAGAGAGAGAGAGAGAGAGAGAAATAGAGAGAGAGAGGGAGAGAGAGGGGAGAGAGAGAAGGGGAAACGCCCACTCGACACCGACTAGGTTATTTCGGGACTAACACATAGTTCAATTTGAATAAAAGACAGTACAATGACAAGAAACAATGTCTAGTCGTTCGGATGGGACGGAAATCCGAGGTCCCGTGTACATCCTTGGATTACGATGAAAATCCGCGGTCCCGTGTACATCCTTGGATTACGATGAAAAGTAGGCGTTCCATGCCACAGCCCGGATAAAATGTCTGCCATAGCACACTCTATGGCATCTGTCTGTCGACTTTTGATGATAATAAGAAACTTTTGAACTATAAAAAACGAAACGAAATAAGATCTGTGTTTTAATCAGATTGGTGTCGGCTCATACTATACCTTGTTACGGTGACGTCACTTGATTCCTGGTTCCTGCTGGTGCCTGTAACTCCTGCCAAAATACATTAGTCGAGTCATACTATACCTTGTTACGGTGACGTCACTTGATTCCTGGTTCCTGTTAGTTCCTGTAACTCCTGCCAAAATACATTAGTCGAGTCAGAAGAATATCTTGTTACTTGTATAATTCCTCGGTTCACATAGAAATAAAACATCGAATGGTTTAATGACTTGATAATACTGTCATTAGTAGGTAAATCACAACATTTCTCTAGTATATAGTGTGCAGTTAACCATCCATACTCCGCCGGTCATCAGGTTAAAGGTCAAACTCCGAGACCTAGAGAATGAGAGGATGACGTCATGAGATAAGTAGGAAGATTATAAAGACAACTTCCTTTTACCGTGGGAAAAACGGAAAACCCGACCTCGTCTGGAAACTTAGGAATTTAACCATCAATTAAAGTTGAATTGTTTTAAAAGGAAAGGCGTGTTTAGATATAGAAAATACTACACATTTCCATGCACTGACTAGTCAATGTGTTCTAATGAATAAATGAATGAAATGAAACGAGGTTTAACTTCCTACTGTTCTGCTCCGACTGGGCTAATGAAGACGGGTATACACCACCCAGTGTGCTACGAGGAAAATATGGAAATTCTAATTTCCGAGGCATCTTTTATGTGCACGCCTATGTGTACACGGGACCTCGAGTTTTCGTCCCATCCGAACGACTATACGTTGTCCATTGTCAGGCCCTCGGTTATGTTCAACTGAAAAGGTGGAACCACG